CCACCAAAAAGTTAAAACAAGAAATGGAAACCTGATCATTTAATGAAGTTTTTTACTTTTCACTTCAATTGAAAGAGCTTGTTTCATCTGGTTTGATTTCACTGCATACAAAAATTCTTGCATTCTAAATTGTTGCTGAGGGCTCTTAGATCTCTCTCCACCTTACAGAATTGTCACAAAGTTTACAAAATGTTTTAAAGGCAGTTATTGTCCATCTTATAGAATTGTTGCAGAGTTTTCAAAATGTTTCAAAGGCTGTTATTGTCCGCTAAGACATATTAAAAACCTGGTGGAAACCATAACTGAAGCTCTAACAAGGAAGATATTTAACTCGCTAACTTTCAACTTCTTTTCCATGCATACTACTCAGTCCATATTATACATTTTGTATTCCACACATTATTATGTGATCATTTTGAAACATGGCTCACTTTACAAGTTTTGAGCAAGTGAAACCCGTATACCACAAGAAAATCAAATAAAGTTAAACTTGATCATTCTGGTGAATCAAATGTTTTATAGAGGAATACATATGTTCACAACAATTTTGGCTAATGAGAGAATGGGATCCCTGTGGATGCAACATGGCAGTCAAGTACTAGAAATTGGTTTTACACTGCAAGTCTTGGTGGTTTGTTTTAGCATAAGGACTTCTGCCTCAGTTTTGTGAAATAAAGGAAAAAAAGTTGGAATCTCTGGGGGAAATCGGTAGATACTCTGGAATGTTAACTTTCATAAACTGAGCTGTGAATCCATGCTGAATTAACCCTCGCAAATGGCCGTGAAAAACGTTTTAAGCTTACGGTAAAACAAAGTGTTCTTGATTCCCTGGTACATCATTTTGACACATATCAAATAAAAACAACAAAGAAGAAAAAAAATTTGAATTGACTCGAATTTGACTTGTGACATGAACTTGACTTGTGACTCAAACTTTACTTGTGATATGGTATAATTCCTTTAAACAACTGACATGGCTGCCACTATTTGATTCAAAATTCACCTTTTCAGCATTAGATTAATCCAAGCCAGAATGCTTCCTGTTACATTCTTCGCATCCTCTCAATGGGTAGCAAAATAATAATGTGCTTGATATATAATCTTGAAAACATATGATCAAACGAAGAAGTCAATTTTGAGCAAAGATTAACACTTCAGGACAGTGGGAAATTATTTATGACAACTTAGTGAAGCCAAAGTTCAGACATGGGTAGTGAGTGGTTGACTCTATGTCTGAACTATTGCAGTTTGTTTACATCAAAAGTTGTGACACCCAACTTGTAAAATCTAATGCCAAAAAGGTGAACTGTGTGAAAAGGATGGAATTTTTCATGTTCCACACGAAATCAATCATTTACATATTAATGTATCTGAGCTGAGATAAACATGTACTTAAAAATCTTGAAGTAAATTTATCCAATGGAAAAAAATTCTTGTATTTTTCATAAAATGCATCAGTAATTAGTGATTGCTGCTTTTTATAGAAATTTGAGAGGGAATCTTAATGAAGGTTTCCTTCTAAAAGTTCCCCAAAAGCTTAGTTTTACAAAATAAAAAGTGTGCAACTTCTTCCTCTTCTTCAATTTTCCCAAAGTATGACAATAAAGTTAGTTGAACCCTTTGGCAAGGTAAATCTGTTTCAGTAATTCAGCTAGACCCAGTCCAAGTACTGGAAATAACTGTTAAAGTCAGCCAACTTTGAAAATTTGGCCCTAATTTTTTCTTAATCATAGCAGTTTCAGAAAGCTTTTATGCTTGAATTGCCTGCCACATATCTCACTGATATGCGCAAATGTCTGGCATATGTCTGCCTTTCTGTCTATAAAATAGATATGATAGGATAGTGCTATCATTAGCAATTGATTCTCCTGCTAAATAGAACTTGGACTAAGTACAAGTTCAAGTTCAAGTTCAAGACTTCTCACCAATCACATAATTATAAATCGGGCAACTGATTTCTCTTTCACAGCTGATGTCACACTCGTGGATGGCTGTTAATTGTAACTTCTTGAAGACCAATCCCTGCAGAGCCATTCCTTTTATGCTCCATACAATAACCATCACCTCAAGAGGCCGACAATGAAGAACACTCTTCCACATTTAATGACTACAATAGAATAAAGATTGCGCGCATAACTTAACGTTACCCTAACTATGCCTTGTCTGCTTGTTGTGGAGAGAAAATCGAGCCAATTGATACACAAAGTAATTTTTAACAGAGTGCCTCTGAAAACTGTGAAATTCAGTTCATCGCAATATCCATGAGTAACTCATTGATTACTTTTTACTTTCCTACTTCTAGAGTGACAAATTGTTTTTCTTGATTGGTGGCAGTAAAAAGGTTTTCAGATTGTTTTCAGCTAACTCTTTAACCATTTTGACATAAATATTAATTATCCTCAGTCTCACATACATTTCTTCTAATTTTAGCTCAGAGAATTTGGCATTTAATCAAACAAGTATACTCAAGGTGTGTTGGATTGTGAGGAGAAATTACTTATTGATCATTTCATGGACTGAAAAGGTTAATATTTGAGGGGGTAAAGTGATGTCCTGAAGCAAAATTTTTAAGTACACAGTCACACAGTCATTCTGTAACATTTATTTCAATTCAATTGATAGGTTTATTGAATAAAGTTGTTTGTTTGGACTCTGGAATTCTAATTACCTGATTTTTCAGATGGATTTCACTTTGGTTTCTTCCAAAATTGTGGAAATTTTCAAAATGATTTTTAAGTATAAAGAAATTGCAAAGGAATCGAGATTAAAAGTGTTAAAAGAAATGGAAAGAAGTCTCAAGAGGTATATTTCCCAGGCCACAATGATGACAAAATGAAACCAAAATTCATTGCCTTGTAAGATTACATTGATTGCAATACAGCTTAAAACTGTGACTCATGCATGAGTAATTTTGTCGGAGATCTTTGGCACAGGTACTTCCTTGAGATTATCCAACATTTCAATACTGTTTGCATTTTCACTCCTCTCAATTAGATAAAAATAGAGCTTTACACCTTAGTTAGGAGGCGAGCGTGGTCTAGTGGTTAGGGCGCTGGACTTGCAAGCTGGAGGCCCCAGGTTCAGATCCTCCTTCCTGCCACTAGATGGATTTGTCTTCGGTGGCCCCGAACTCAACTCCTGCACGCTTTGTAAATAGCCAACTGGTTCGCCTCCTGCCAGTTGGGATTCTTATCATGTTATGTTAATTTGCTCTTTCATATTTGTTTGTAACGCGCATTTGAACATATTCACATGGAATTTGCGCGATATAAATGTTTATAATTTATTTTATTTTATTTATTTATTTATTTTAGTTTGTGGAATTCCAGTTACTCAATGTTTCAGACTTTGAATTTATTTGTGGCAAAACTAAAATTTCAACTCTAGGCAAACTTATGGCTGTCCATGTTTGCTTTTTTTTTACATGGCATCAGTTTCATGTACACAGGAAACTGATGTCAGAAACTGAAGCAGAAAAATTAAATGGACAGATATGTGTTGTTTGTGTCAAAAAATTGAGATTAGAAGCATTAAAAAATTGGAAAGAAGTCTCAAATGTTATGCTTTTTCTAAGCTGCAACAAGTACTTAATTGCAGCTGGAATTCTATTTGGGGTTTCCTTGCCTTCTCTTTTCATTCCTTTTACATGTGGAATTCATCTCTGTTCTTTGATTTGTTTTCTTTTGTCTTATTAGTATTTTATTTGGCTTCCAAGTTCCACTGATTTTAAGAACATAGCAAAGCTGAACAGATCTCCTGCTATTTGGCCAAAAGTTTAAATAAATAGCCAGGCTGGAACTTATTCAAGCAAATGTGAGACATTCATTTTATGTCATTCACATTTCAAGCTGTTTTAGGTACTATAGCAGTGGTTTGAGAGGTGAAGAAGAATTTTGTCTTATTATTGGGAGGGAAATCATTTTATCTGACATATGGTAAGGGTTTTAAGAGGGGTGCTGCATACCTCCACTTTTTTTTACTATGTTGTCATGATTATGTGGCAGTGAAGTGAGGTTTCAGAAGTGATTTTCAGAAGGCTACACCCTCCCCTTACTCCCTCCCCATTGCTTTCAAGTGGTGACTGATATAGAGGATAAATAGATCACAACACAAAGTATAAATCCATTTACAACATTTATTCTACACTAATAAATTTGGGAGTTCAGGCTCCATTTACAAATACTTGTAAGTAAAAATTTTAACTGTCTATAAGTCTGATGCTTCATCTTCTGATTTTGCACAGCAACTTATTGACATATTATTACATTATTTGAGAAACAGGCCTTAAATATATACAAAAATATACTAATATTTACATCAACTGCAGAAACTCCCCAAAAAAATTTTCAAACTAGTCTGACATAAATCTCACATCACTAACCTACCAAAAGAACTTTTCTTCGAAGCGCCACGAGTTTACGTACAGTTTCGGTAGGATTTCAATGGCAGTAAATTTGAAACTACTTGAATCGGATCGCTTCGATCAGAAGAAAAATCGAGCACTAAAACAAATGTGTTGTACCATACAATCTGCACTACATTAACTCATCTGATGCGATTGTAATCTCCCAAAGAATTTCAATAAACACTACAGAAAACTATTCCTAGAGAAAGACACGCGCGATCAAAACAGACACAAGCATGGAGATAATTTAGGATCGAAACTAACCAATCATAAAATGACAAAGTTTCCTGAGAGGTCCGAGGTTTGTTTGTTTTCTCTGCAGGAAGCTTTGTGTTTTTACTTCAATATTATTGGTTCGTTTATAAAAAGTTTGACATCCTTTGTTCTCAATAAACTTGTTCATTGGTTTGTTTTCTTCATTTCGATCCGGTTCAAATAGTCTCGCTGCTCTGAGCACTTCACAGATTTAATTTGCCTTCATTTACGTTTAGCTTTTTGGGTTGTAATTGTCACTGAGCCGGTCACCTCGCAGTTATTTTGAATAGTAAGTGGTTCAAATAATTTCTTTTTAGTTTTTAATTGGAATTGCTGAGGCCTAAAGAATAAGCTTACACCGACTATCGCCAAGTAATTTACGTGCCTTTTGCTTACCTGCATTTGTTATGTGTTGATTTTTTGTGAGGTATAACGTGTGTAGCTGACAGTTGTTGTTGTTGATGGCTTCAGCCAAGTGCTGTGCTCCAATGTCCGAGATGTTATTGTCTGAGAGGTATAACGTGTGTAGATGACAGTTGTTGTTGTTGATGGCTTCAGCCAAGTGCTGTGCTCCAATGTCTGAGATGTTATTTTCTGAGAGGTTTAACGTGTGTAGCTGACAGTTGTTGTTGTTGATGGCGTCAGCCAAGTGCTGTGCTCCAATGTCTGAGATGTTATTTCCTGAGAGGTTTAACGTGCGTAGCTGACAGTTGTTGTTGTTGATGGCTTCAGCCAAGTGCTGTGCTCCAATGTCTGAGATGTTATTTGCTGAGAGGTCTAACGTGCGTAGCTGACAGTTGTTGTTGTTGATGGCGTCAGCCAAGTGCTGTGCTCCAATGTCTGAGATGTTATTTTCCCAGAGGTTTAACGTGCGTAGCTGACAGTTGTTGTTGTTGATGGCTTTAGCCAAGTGTTGTGCTCCAATGTGTGAGATGTTATTTGCTGAGAGTTCTAACGTGCGTAGCTGACAGTTGTTGTTGTTGATGGCGTCAGCCAAGTGCTGTGCTCCAATGTCTGAGATGTTATTGTATGTGAGGTCTAACGTGTGTAGCTGACAGTTGTTGTTGTTGATGGCTTCAGCCAAGTGCTGTGCTCCAATGTCTGAGATGTTATTTTCCCAGAGGTTTAACGTGCGTAGCTGACAGTTGTTGTTGTTGATGGCGTCAGCCAAGTACCGTGCTCCAATGTCTGAGATGTTATTTTTCCAGAGACTTAACGTGCGTAGCTGACAGTTTTTGTTATTGATGGCTTTAGCCAAGTGCTGTACTCCAATCTCAGAGATGTTATTTTCTGAGAGGTTTAACGTGCGTAGCTGACTGTTGTTGTTAATGGCGTCAGCCAAGTACCGTGCTCCAAAGTCTGAGATGTTACTTGCGATGAGGTATAATGTGCGTAGCTGACAGTTGTTGTTGTTGATAGCTTCAGCCAAGTGCCGTGTTCCAATGTGTGAGATGTTATTGTGTGAGAGGTTTAACGTGCGTAGCTGACAGTTGCTGTTGATAGCTTCAGCCAAGTGCCGTGCTCCGATGCGTGAGATATTATTTTCTGAGAGGTTTAACGTGCGTAGCTGACTGTTGTTGCTGTTGATGGCTTCAGCTAAATACTTTGCTGCTTCATCTGTCAGTTGATTTCTTGTGAGGTTTAACGAGCTCAGTTGAAATTTCCTATATTTTAACAATTTACAAATCTCAAAACAACCTAATGGACCGATGTTATTGAAACTCAAATCTAAATGTGAAATTTGTTGAACATTCTTAATTACATTTACTAAGGAAGGGCAACCAACAGCTGTGAGGTGACAATCAATAAAATTTACACAGTTAAAGTTAATTTGTTGTAGTTTTCTCTGAACTATCGACTCCATCTTATTACTTTCGTAACTACATTTAAGCAATGTCACTGCTAAATCCTTTTCGTCTTTAGTCGGCCAGCAGGTCACCATTTTGTCTTCGCTTTCTTCGGCTTCGTTTTTTTTCTCTTCAGTTTGCACAGGAAGAAGGTCAGTGATGATTTCGCTTGGTAGGTGGTTTTTCTCCTCCATTAGTCCCGCCAGAAACTGAAAAACCAGCTGCCATTTGCCGTTCTTGATGTTTTCTGAAACAAAGTTCCCTAATTCTCTTTCTTTCATGTTGTTTGTCAGGTGCCGCGCTGCGAAAAACTCTTGCATTGTAAGGTGAATGAAACAGAATTGTTTCTCATCTTCTAAAGCGGCATGTTCACGGTCGGGTAAGCGGTGAAAAAGGGCGCTGTCTTTCATTTCGCGTACTTCGTTTCCTCTAAGGATCAGTTTTCCTTCTTTGATTCCTTCAAACGCCACTCTTCCTAGTTTCTCGAATTCCCCCTCCACAGCCGAGGGCAAATCATCTGATAGAAAGTCTTCGCGGGTAAAATGTTTATCGCGGAATTCTTTCGTGTGTTTGAAATAAAATACTTTCACTGCAATCTTGTATATCGTGGTTAATTTGGAAGGGAGGGTAACACTAGCGGAACTTTCGAACTGCAATATTTGTGACAGACTTGAGCATATGATGAAGCTGTTCACAGGGACATAACAGAGCGAAAGTAAGTTCATGTTGCTGCTGATGTGTCGCCATAGTGTTTCGCCTACTTGATTGTCAACTCCGGCGAATTTGTTGATATACTCTTGAATTTGCTCGGTTGAAAACCCTAAGATTTCAAAGGTTTTGTTGAAATTAAGATGTGCGATACCGGTCAAAGCCGTAGGTCTAGTAGTCGTTACAATTGAAGCATCTTCAAGAAGTTTCCCGGTCACAAGCCACTGATAAAGGATTTGGAGCGGCATCTTGTCTTTAATGTTTCCGGGATGAGAAGGCGCCACGGCCATGTTTGCGTTATCTTTGAATTCGTCAAATCCGTCAAAAAGTATGAGGACACCTTCAGGGTGCTGCAGGATGTAATTCCAGACCTCATCATCCAGGTGATCTGAGGTGGAATGTTCTGACCGAGTGAGTAGTTCCCTAAGGCTAAGGTCGTCTGCCGAGTTGAATCTTCTGAACTTTACGAAGAAAGCAGCATCAAATTGGATTTGGGATTTGACTTTCTCAAATGCCCAGTCTCTGAGAAGTTTGATGCAACATAATGTTTTGCCGATTCCGGGGCGACCGACAATCAATACTTTCTTATTTTTATCATTTAGGAGGTCTTCCAGGCTTTTCGGATGTGATTCTTCGTCGCGCGACCTTGGATAAACTTTGAGTTGTTCTTGTCTGTCTGTAGTAAAGTTGTACGTAGCCCTGTTGGGAATGATCACAAGGTTTGTGTAAATCTGATCCAAAGTCAAATCTGTGGCTTCTGTTTCTGCGCCTGGAGGACGTCGAAACGGTGATTGGAGTTCGTAGAGGCATTGGGTGTCTTCTTTGATGATTTTCTTCGTTCGTGCGATGAATGGTTGAAGCTGTTCAGGCTTATCATGTCCGCTCGTTCCCTCTGGCTGTTTAAGAACATTATGCGACGCGACTTGGTCTCGTGGCTGTAGTGGGACAACTGCATCTTGTTTTCGAGGTTTTTGGTGTAACTCGAATTGGGTCGGAGGACGTTCATGTTCTCGTGGCTGAAGTGGAACATCATCCTGCTTTTGAGATTCTTGGTGCAACTCGACCCGGGTCGGACGGTTTCCCGGCTCTCTTAGCTGTAGTGGAACAATTTCATGTTGTCTTCTTCCTTCTTGTTCCTTAGGTTCTTGATGCGACTTGTCATGATTAGCATTTAGATAGGTTTTTAGAAAGTCTGAGTCTTGCATAAAATTCCTTTTTATCCATGCCTGTGTCAAAATGTAGACGATTTCAATCAGAATGCCAGCGTCAAAAATTCCATTCACTGCAAGGACAGCGTTCATCCAAAAGGTTTTCTTTATCGCTCGTTGATTGTGACATTTGTGTAAAGTACTGTTTGGGGCGGCGTTCGATGAATTCCTCGGCTGGTTGGTCCCAGAGTTCAAGCAACATTCAAACGTGGAGGAAAACTTTAAAGGATAAAGCAACTGAGTTTGCAGCAATATGAAGAGAACTCCTAGAACAAGTCTCGTAGATAGTTGACAACAGTAAGCTATGAAAAGCTTGTGTCTGCAATTTGTTGTTTGTCCTGTTGGGTTTTCTTGGTCGCGCGACTGTCCGCTCTCTGGATCACTGTTACGACTGCTCGACGACAAATGATCGACTGCGTTTTTCACTATTTGGGAGTAGATAACACATACAATTCCAATAAGGAGGAAATTGATGATCACGAAGCCATAGACAGGAACACCGTACTTGTTGTATTGCTTCTGGTATTTTTCGAAACATTCCCCACGGATAAGGTCGATGTTTTCACTCTTGGTGCCACCGCAACGGAAATCGTACCTGGATTCGGTATTTTCCACTTCGGCAAAAATGCCAAAGAAAATTACACTGATCACGAACCAAATTAAAACTACGGCATAGCTAATTTTGTTGAAGGTTCTTGGTGCAAGTGATTCCTTGAGAAAATCCATCGTTTCAGTACTGTTTGTATTTTCGCTGTTTTCGATGAGATCAAATTTGCTCTACAGCTTTGGTTGTGGACTTCCGGTTAAAGATTGTGTCAGATTTTTAAGTTTGATTATGACAAAAATACGATTTTAACTATTGGCAAACTTACGCCGGCTGTCAATGGTTTATTCACGCACGCCATCATTTTCTTTCTGATATCGGAAACTGACACAGAAAACTGAAATGGACAGATAAATGTGTCGGCTGGTTCAAATTTTCTTTATTTTTAGTGCGTGAGATTCTATGTCGTTGAAAGAGGCGCAAAAGAAACAATTACAAGTATGGAGAGATATTTCGCTTTCTGAAGCAAATAGAAGCGTCACGACAAAAGAAATTGTGAACTGTCACTGATAACTCTTCAAGTTTAACTTTGCCTTAGTCCGGGGCTTTCTACTGAGTATGAAAGCTCCTTAATAGGAGGCTTGGTCCCTCGACTTTTATTTTGACAAAGAGTCTGCTAAGTTACATGTTTTCTCTTTTCGCTTGTGTTACAGCAGAGTGTGGCTTTTCAGTGAAGAAATGAAAGACATTCCCGTACGAAAGCGAAACCATGTATCTGACTCGACTGTCATATCATTTCATATGTCTTCCACTGGATTTTTTAAGGGATTTGCATCACCGTAAAGTATCCTTGTATTTTTCAAATAACAATAACCAGTCTTATTACTTAGATGCTCGTTCTCTCTGCGTCAAAAGAATGCTTGTTCTTCTGAAATAAAATAACTTTCGCCCCCGCCTCATGACGGTCTCAATGTGGTAAATCGTCATAAATGTAACATTGTTACCGTGAACCGTGCTGCTGACCAATAGTTCTGAAAAAAAAAGATAAAAAAAAAGAAAAAAGGTTTTCAAGTTACCTCAAAAGCTTTATCCGGCAAATAGACACTTGTATACAACAAACAACAAATCTGAAGAAATCGAAGTCGGACTCAACTCAAATGTTCTTTTGAGCTGTTATCTTGTCATATTTTCTTCTGATTTGTCGGCGGGTATAGGGTAATACACTTTTCTTCAGGAATTTTGCTGAAAACAAATTTTTGCCGAAAATTGGTCTATTCAAATTTTGTAAAGATATTTTAACGTTTTATGAAGAACGTTTATTCTTAAAAATTAACCGTCAACCGTGAGAGATACCCAAACACTTAACCGTCGATCATCAGAGATACCTACACACCAAAATAAGCTGCGCCGAGGGCTATAGTGCACCAACTGTAAGAAGGAAAAAGATATTTTGACTATTTAAATACGTGATTTTTGTAAATTGAACGAAAAAGTGCTATAATTTCGTACCAGATCGGTGTCTTGTTTCTGTTTAGGTGCAAGAAATAAAAATTGTTGATAAATGTTATATTTAACCGCTTCAAGTGAAAGACTGAGTGAACCCTGGGCGCTTTCCTTGTTAACCAAATTGGATGTAGATCAACCATCAGCCAGCAGAAAACATGGAAGAGGAGAATTCTGATCGTCATGTTAATTTCTTTGCAAGTTTGACTAGCTCACAGCAAGCTTAGAATCTGCCAGAAGGCAAAATTAAATAAAGCATAGCTTTATTATTTTTGGAGCCCAGAGGATAGGGGAACCGTGAGGCTTTTGAGCTAACCCCTATATTCTTGAATCAATTTTCTCTCGTGGAACAGGGTACTCTTAAATATGTGGGATGCGGTGGGTTTTCTGTTTTGCGTGTGATTACAAATTTTCTGCAACACTACCTTCTAGCGTCATCATACAACCTTTAATTTGTTCTTTAAGAATTGTGCTGTACCAGTAGCCACATGCGCTCTCAGATTATTTTTATTTCATTCAATAGAATAGAAGGGCAAGAACGAAAACTACGTAGACTTCAAGGAATCGACCCCAAAAATACACCAATGACAAAGTAACTCACTACCCAAGCGGGGAACATACTAAGCTAATTTAATTTGGTATTCCAGTCATTTTTGGCGCTGAATGCAACCATTTTTCCTTTGCAAATTCTGTAAATCAGCAGAGCTCTTTTTTTCATATTGACACTGACTTCCTACCAGCATACACCTGTACACGCAAAATCGGTCAGCTGTTTCGATGATAAAAAAAAAAGAAAAAGCAACGATGTTAAGATCGTGCGCCCAATCATATCTCGGTTCATGTTATTTCGTGAGGTTTCGGGATTCCACGGGATAGGGACGATAACTGACGTCACACGTTCTCACAGCTCATGCGCTTGTCTTGCAAAATGGAAGAAGCAAATTGATGTGTTTAGGTTGAGGATTTTTAAGGGAAATTTTGTCCAATGGAGAATTTGAGTGCTAGTTAATTGAGCACTCTTGTGGCTCAAGAAATGCGTAGTTCGGAAGAGGTAAGAAAAATGGCAGATTTGCCTTATATTCCTTGTTATCACTTGTTGTACAAACGGAATTGAATTCAACCAAGACGTGTCCTAAAATTTCTTGTTCTTGCGTGTCTCAGGGTTTTACGTTTGGCGATTTCACAGCTGAAGAATGGGAAAAATACTTCAGTAATTCATTAGCTCAAATTGGAAATATACCACCGGTTGAGGTAAAAATTAGCTTACTAGATCTTTTTATTATACCTACGTCTGGGAAATTGTTTTTATTTTTAGGTTTATGTTATACTTCACGTCGAGACAATATTTACTCACGCTTTAGTTTTCGATCGTTCCTCGCGTTGGTTTCTTTTTTGTTTCACTGAGATTTTCTATTTTGCAGTTTCTCTTCAACTTTAATTACTCAGATGACGAGGAACGAGGCGATAATTTTTTAGGTATGTATCTAATACTTACAAATTTATCTTCTCGCGAGCATCCACACTCGGCGAACAACACTATTTTAACAATTTACATCGACATTTAATTTATGAGGCGCTCCATGTTGTTCGTAAGAAATATGAGAGTAGCGAATGGTTATGGTGATGGTTGTTTATTTTCAAATATGAGTAATATTCCGGTTCGTCTTTGTTATGACGGAACTTGAGTTCAAATTTTAAATTTGTGTGATATAAAGCTAGTGTAATGTTCGGATCGAAGAGGAGTCAAGAGGGAGAGGCAGGGGAAAATGTCGAAATACTATGAATGATTATGGTAGTAAACAATATTAAACTCCCAGTCATGTGCAGACAGTGACAATACCCGTTTCCTTATTTTGTTGATGGTCAGCGTAATTTAAATATATATTGTTTTGATTTTTTCTTACTACTGGAAACTGATGAATGAGACAAAGTGGATTACAACTTTTAAAATTATGCCCTGCAGCAAGTACAAATCCTAAATGTTACAACCTCTGATATTTTAATTGCTATTAGGAAGTTTTCATCACAAGTAGTTATAGTGTTGTAGTATTGTCACCAGACCCTAACAGTGTATAACTTCAAAAATGCTGTTGTTTAATTTAAGTGAAGGAAGTAGTGCTCTAACAAGGGAATCTTATACAAACCTGTCCTTCCATTAAGCAACAGTTGGGGGATGGATTTGCACCAAGTTTTCATGGCCTGAAGTAAGGTGCCAGTGTTTCATAAGAATCTTTTTAAGATTCTGGTCAGCAGGGTTAAAAGTTGTAATGAACAACAAAATCTTTTTTAGATGCTTTTGGTTTGCTTTTTAAAGCCTTGTTGCATGATAAGAATTGTACTTCTGCTAGGGTCTTTTCAACAAGGTCCTGTGCCTTGCCTTGTTCTGTAAGAAAATTCTATGAAGTTTTCTTCTTTTAGTCATAAGATTCTTTTACTGAGTTTGTTCTCAGTAAGTGTAGTGCGTATCCTTTACCATATCTCTTCTTAACATTGAAAGGGAGGGATCAAGTATATTGGCATGTTTCTTTCAGCTTGTAATGTGTTTGAACATCAAGAATTTACCTTTGGTAAATCTAGGTCCTTTAAAAACTTCAGTATCGAGGAAAACAATTTTTTCTGATGACAATTCATACATGAATTGAATAGTGGCATGGTATGAGTTAGTGATATCAATGAAATTGATGATTTCAATTTCAGGAATGGTCCACCTTAAAAAGTGTTATGAATGTATCTTTTTAACCCTCTACAGCCTAACATCAGTATGCATATTCTCCCTACTATTCTCTATACATTTCCAAAGATGCTGATACAGAGAATTTGTTTAGTGATCAAGAGCCTAATTAGTTGATGGTCAATTACTTTATTCTCCTGACCTTACTGTGTGATTCAGGGTTGACATTGTAGGGAGAAATTAGATGCTAGTCACTCCTAGGGGTCAAAGGGTTAATAGTTTAGGTGGGCTTGTAGCTAGTACCTGTTTCTCAGTATGAGCCATGAACACAACCTCTAAAGCTATTGTCATTTTTTGTTCCTATAGCTATTCTGAGTGTTTCTAGATAGTGTTTGTCTTTGTCATTGAAAAAGTTTTCTTTAAGAAGCAGTCTCTTAAGGTCTCCCAAAATTTTGTTGGGATGAGAGATTTTAACTGATAATGTGATATTAATTCCCTCCTCTTGGGGAATGTTAGTGTGGAGAGAACGAATGTCAAAAGTACCTAAATTGCTTCTTCTGGAAGTGGGATGTTTTTGTTGAAGTTTATAAAGTGAGTGGTGTCTTTGATAGAAGACTGTTGTTTCTGCTCGATTGGTTGTAAGGGTGAGTCAACAAAGATGGAAATGTGCTCTGTTGGGCCAGTGCTCCGAGATAAGATTGATTATCAACAGGAATGATTTCATGTACTTTGGTCAGTGTGTGAAATTCTGGTTTTTCCAGGTGGGTTTTGGCCTAAATTGAGCCACTTACAGGTCATGTCATCAATATGCCTTCTAGTAAACAAAGTGTTGACAAATTGTTTTGACTTTTGTGACTGTTTCAGATACTATTGGTTATATTAGGGGGTTATAGAATTTCTCATCAGGGACTTGTTTGTAACCTTCCTGAATTTTTTGTTTAGTATCTCTTATAACAATAGTGATTCCTTTGTCAGTGTTTTTAAGATTTATCCTGTTGTTGGTGCTAAGAGTTTTTTAAGTGCTTGTCTTTGTTTTGCTGTTAGATTGTCTTTTATGTTGGAAAAGGTTATAAATGAAGGCAATCTCTAGCTTTGTACATTCCAATTAATTTTCTAAAGCAACCAACAATTGAGATGGCGGTTGTCATTTAGATTTTACTCAGAATGGATGAGGATTGTTTTTTGAGTTAACAAAGATATATTGTAAGTGCACAGAGTGAGTAACTGCACACCATTGGTTTCAGGGAATGTTTATCCAAGCTTCAGTTTCTAGTATAGTTAAGATTGTATGTATCCATTTGATACCTTTGAAAGCAAAAGTGATTTGAAATTTTGCATCCTAATTTTTCCATACAAACTATAAATTTATTGGAGTAGATCTCTTAATTTTCCCAAAAGCAACCATACAAGAAGCATCAATGCACAACACAGCATTAATTCTCCTATGAGGAGGGGAACATTGGAGTTTGTGATTTTGGGATTTTGGACAATTTTTCTCCTGGTATTTCAGTCATTTCATTAATCTGGAATTGCATTATTGCGGTATTCTCCTAACATGCAAGATACAGGTTACACTCTCTAATCCTCTACTGTTTCTCAAGCCTTTTCCAGACTCTGATTCTTTTGTAAACAGACTTAAATAAAACTACCTGACTATAAGTAAATATTCATTAACAAATTCGTAATTGTATTGCAATGTTCAGAACCCCTGAATATCCCCCTCTATAAGTGACCAAGGCAGAATTTTTCCGTACAATACAATATCAAGTGGACAAGTGATGAGATAAAAAGAAAAAGATAAGTTAAGAGTATTCTTACCCAATCCAATACCAAATTCTCCAAACTAATATCATGAGAATTGTAAGGCAGATGGTAAGGAGAATTACAAATCAGATTTGGAAGTGGTAGAGGTAATATTGCTCTAATATCCACTTTTAAGGTAACATGTTTGGTTCTTTGCCTTGTAGCTGGTGACTCCTCAACACATGTCTCATCAAATGACAGTTCTGCGGCAGCTAAAAGTGTCACGGCAGGTCTTGAAGACTCAGGTGTTGAAGTGGGACAAGAAAGTGAACAGGAAACATCTCCAGGAAAATTGGTGAAAACAACAGCTGGTACTGGTGATTGTTTACCAGAAGCAAAACAGAAACAAGTCAAACAATCATCAGAGAAAACCATACAAAGTAGCTCTGAACATATTGTTTTTGGTGGAAACAGCATCAAAGAGCATGAACAAGATGTGAGGCAAAGCAAACCTGAAAGGTAGAGGAGTAGCTTAAAAATCCTTTTTGACATGAAAATTTTTCATTTCTGGTTTATGGTTCTTTTTATGTGATTAATATCAGAAACATTTTTACTGAATTCTTAAAATTGTTAGAAAAGTTCATGCAACACCAACAGCTCAAAAAGCTTTAATTCAATAACAAAATAAAAAGTCTTCCCAAGTCCCCTTGGCTGCTTCATAGAAGTTTCACTGGAAAGAGGGTGGTCAATTTTTGTGGCATCTTTCTTCAAGGGATGTTTCTTTAGGGCAAAGTAATTTTTAAGTAATGAATTCTATACTTGACAAGTAACAAAGGTATAATAGGGAGTAAGTTTTTAAGAAACTGTGGTGCTGCATCAGAGGAATGGTATAGCACTTGTTGATTTGGCATCATCAACTGAGTTGATAACGTAACTTGAATTGGCGAATGGCTATTCAAAGGGCTTTCACAAAGGGTTAACACTCAGAATGTCAGCTTTGAACTTCTTAACAGTAGCCAATTTACATTATCAACGTAGTTGATCTTACAAAAATTACTGCATTCAAAAGGTGTTTGATTCTTGATCCTGGCCACCCTAGCATCAGAGGTGAGTTGAGGGTTTTACTGTTTATCCTTATTACATCGAGGATTCGTCTTTGTGGTTTTCATCTTTTTACAAGATCCAGCAATGTGAATTCTGAGTTTTTCTCTGCAAACAGAACACATGAAAACTACCTTGTTTATGTTCACTGCTACATATAATATGTTATTTTATTCGATCATTTTGATTATGTTCCATTCTTATACAACATGTGAGTGGGGATTAGTTGTTACATAATTTTTGAGTATAGGGTAACTTTATAGATTACACTTCAAGTTGAGAAAATTCACAAATGCATGTATTGTTAAATGAAGAATTGTTGTTTTATTTTGCAGTCCCTCAAGAACTTCAGCAGCTGATGTTGACCAGTTCCCTCCCTTGTCATTAACAGTGAACACCCAGAGAGCAGTGGAGAAGACAGAGACTGAAAGATCACGTAAACGGCGCAAGCGAAGGAGGCAGAGAAAGAGGTCTGGATCTGTGTCCAGCTCCTCTAGTGAATGTAGTGAAAAGGAAAGGGCTTCAGTTAATTCCAATGGCTCTGGGCTAAAAGGAAAAGCTGTGGCATCTTTACCTACTACAGATAAAGTTGTTCTCAGTGATGATGTTAAAGAAGCTTCAAAAGTACAGGTAAATGTTTTGAGCACAAGGTTAAAGGAGCAAAAATCCGATGCTCTCTCTAACACAGACAAAAGAACAGCTGTACAGAGAAAAAGCACAAGTTCTTGCGATGGAGACACTGTGGAAGAAAGGAAGAGTTCCTTATCAACAGAAGGCACATCAAACAGCCCTGTTTACAGTGACACAGACATTAAAGTTACAGTTTCCATCAACACTGCACAAGATCCCTTAAGCTCTAATCAGACTTCTATAAAACCTGGAAAAAGAACATGAAGGTCCCATCCCAGTGGATCAGAGTGTAAAAACAAGTGGTGCACCAGAAGAAATCACAGGCAGGAAAGATCAGCCTCCAAAGCCTTCATCATGGGCAGACTTGTTCAAAAACTCTGCAAAACCATTACCTGGTATTGTTGTTAAAACAGTAAGTCCTGTTGTGAGAAATGAAATGCAAACAACTTCAAATCCTAAAAAGACAGATGATACATTACAGATACCAGTTACTGTGGAAGAGGACAAGTTTGCCAAGAAATTTGCAGGTAGATACCTCTAAAGATTCTCTCTCTGTCTCTCTAACTGTCCATCTGTGTGTCTGTCTATCTGTGTGTCTGTCTTTCTGTCTGTCTGCTTTGTAGTCAGTCATTGTCCAAGTAAACAGTCTTGAACTTGATGTAGTTGCACTAGCAGTCCAGATATTTCCACAAGGGGACATCAAGTATGGACTGTAAGTGTTGCACTCTTATTTTGTGTGTGCATGTGTGTGTGTAAATATTGCTGTTTGGAACAAAACATCAATTTTCTTATTGGTTTTTTTTTTTTCTCAATAATTAAACTTTGAACAGTATTCCAAGTTAAGTTGGAGTGAAATTAAGTAACATTTTCTGGTTTTTAAAAAAGAGAAGGGATGTGAAGAAAATAATCTTGCGGAGTGGAATGTAACTAAGTTTAAATTACAAATCAGAACTGAAGAAGAAAAATATTTTCCAAAACTGCAATGGCTAAGGTTGTGATGCACATTATTATTTTATGGGTGTATTGTTACTATAAGAACTGAAAATTCACTATGATAGAAAAGTACCACTTGTAGACTGAATTCATACATTTCTTTGTGCTTCATTTTTTTTATTTGCAGAAAGTATTCAAAGACAAGAGTTACAGTACATCCAAAAACCTTACATTCCAAGAGGACTGATCAACAGAGGGAACTGGTGTTACATTAATGCTGTATCCTTTAAGTTACATCAAGAAATGTTGGATCAATATCAGTATCTGAGCAACTGCCCACCTACCCCTTCCCTAACTCAACAACAGTCAATTGATAACAATTTAGGGTTAATGTTGGGTTAAGGGAGGGGTAGGTGGGCAGTTTCCCAGATACTGATATTGATCTGAAATGTTCATGTGAACCCTTCACACCTTGTGATTAGTGTCCATATTCTTCATACTCTTGTCAGTACATTTTCTTGGGTGCTGACAAGGAAAATTTGCTTATTGGTCCATAAAAATTCCAAAAAAGAACTTGGCCAACGTCCAGCCATCTTGACCTCATGTTTGGTCAATAATGCATGTTATATATCAAGCAGACAAGTGATGAGAGTAAAAAATACCTCAATCAGGGGAATATCAGTTGATCCAATACCAAATTCACCAAAGTAACATCATCAGAATTGTATGGCAGGCAGTGAAGAGAATTACTAACAAGTGTCAATGAATGACTGAGCATTATTACTGTAAGGAGAAATGAAATGCTGATCACCCTTTGGGCTTAAAGGGTTAAGAGATCACCTTTTATTGATTAGGTGAAAGACAGAGTTCATGTCTTTCTTGATTGCTTCTGCAATGTCTTTTTAACTCAAGAGTGAATTTCATATGTATTGGGAACAGTAACTGTTTTTTGTCCTTAACTGTGAACAGACTCTTCAAGCTCTGGTGGGGTGCCCACCATTTTTCAACCTACTGAGACAATTGCCTTTACTAAAGGAAAGAGGTCCAACATCAACACCTATTTTGGACAGTCTGTAAGTGAAAAAGTTTTGTCTTGCATGGGAGCACTCTGGTCAAAAGTTGTTAAATTGGCCACCTGTCTCGGTCTAGTTTTTCACCTTTGAAACAATTTTTTTCAATTTTGTAAGACTGGTATTGTGATGTCTATGTATGAGGCAAAGCATTTCTAACGAACTTCAAGAATGGCGGCCTTGTTTACAATATGTTCATGCAAAAAGAAAATGTACTTATTATCAGTAAAACAAAGCAAAAAATAAAACCTTACTCCCTTTTTCAAGTTTGTTTTTTAAGATAATGATTTTTTCCCTTTTACAGAATAGTCTTTATGAATGAGTTTAAGGAGACAAAGATAAAACCAGGTATGTGTTTACAACAGTTGTGAGAATTAGAGAAAGATGTTGTTTTTTGTCTTGTCACGAGTGTGGGACAAAGAAAAAAATTTTGAGTCCCCATGAGGAATCAAACCTCAGACCTTCGGAATCCACACTTCACTGCTCTGAGAATTGTTTTTAGAGTAGTGCTATACCTGAATGGTCTGGTTAAACAAGCCCACTTTTCATATTACTTCAGTCATCTCAGATTTTTTATCTTTCAACTTACTGTCTTTTTGTATATTATTACTCGAAGTTAGGATAATAATGTTTAGAGTTATTCTCCTCCACCTTATTTGCATGTTCTTGAATCAATCATAACCATCCTTTAGAATCATACTCTACACAAAGAAAAATTTATTTTTTGAAATATCCTCTTCATTCTAAGTTGGCTATTTATGATTTTTTTTATAGGTGGCAGTTCTCCTTCTTCAAAACCTGAGTTTAACACTGGAGAACAATTTGAACCTGTATATGTATACAAGATGTTAGCGATCATTCAGAGCTCACTCTCAGTTAAGGTGAGTTTTTTCCTCCAGAAACACAATGATACTTGCTGATTATTCTTATTTTCTGCTTCCTATCTTACGGTCCCATAAAAGTGAAGGGACAGCAAAATTAGATAAGAAATGTGTTAATGGAAGTATCAAAAGGTGGTTGAGACCTTATTGGGCAGGACACACCCTGTCACCTCTCAAATTTTCAATTGTCCAAGGCTCTTCTTGCTGTAAAATCTTGCCTGCTCCACATCAAGGGATAAACATGATCAAGAAGTCTAGTTGACTTGTTTTGTGGGGATTGAGAGCACAAATGTGTCATGAATCATAGTCTCACTCTCCTCAACGCTGGCCACAAATAAAGACAAATAAACAAACAAATAGTCCCCACTACCACCACCACCATCACCCGCGAAAGATTTCCAATTAGCCAAAATCTCTTGCCGAGCTACTAAGACCTGTTGGAAAAAGGGTTCCCAAACTTGTTTTCTTCACAAAACTTACTCAGAAGAAACTGATCACAAGCTATGTATGGTTTTTAAGTGAAATGTTGGGGTAACTTGTTGAACTCTCTTATAGGGCCGACAGGAGGATGCTCAAGAGTTTCTCAGCTGCATTTTAAACGGATTACATGAAGAGATGCTGCAGCTTGCAAAGATAATATCAAAACCGCTGAAAGGTTAAGATTCTCCTAAACTCTCCTAGTACTGATCCTTACACCCTAAGGAATAGCCTTTGTATTAGGAGCAGGTCTTTATGGTTAGCACTGCAGCGCCAAAGAGAGTTTGAGGGAGGCGAAAGTTGTGGGAGAGGTCTGGGTCAAACCCGTTTACAGACCTCTGTCTCTTTCAAACTCTCTCGCTGACAAGGAAACGCTCGTGTTGCAGTGTGGATAAGAATGACCTGCTCGATGGTGATGGCCTTTGGTGAGTGAACGACAAAAAGTAGAACTCCGTGATAATGGATCATTTCAAAATGAGGTGTATAACCTTTGTTTATTTATTTTCTTAGCCCCAGAGAGAGATGTTGACTTGCCATTGAAGGCTGAAGACTCGGCAGATGATGATGAACCTAAAGCTGAGGAGCAGGAAGATGAAGGGGACTGGGAACAAGTCGGACCCAAAAACAAATCCATGGTGACTAGAATGGTAAGTGCCCCCCATCCCCTTTCCCCCCCCTCCCCCCCCCCCAAAAAAAAAGAAAGGAGGCTCTTTTTACTCTTTGTTGTTCCTAATATTTTCCAAAACATTAATTTTTAGTGCTCCTGGAACTCATCAATCCTACCAAAAGAAATTGAAAGATCAAAATTAGCAAAAACAAATCAGTCAACTCCTTTAAATATGTCATATGTCTTTCCTTTAGTAAAATATGTCAATTTTATGTTGTGGTTTTCCCAGTTGGGGGTTGTTGTTATTGTTGTTGTTGTTGTTTTTTTTGTAGTATCTTTAACCTTACTATGCAAATTTCAGGCATCGTACCCGCAGTCACTGATATCGGAGATGTTTGGCGGTTTTCTGCGCTCGTCAGTTCACCAAGCTGGATTGAAGGACTCTGCTAATGTAGAACCTTTCTTCGAACTTCAGTTGGACGTGCAGGTTTGCAACTTACGGCTCATGTCAGAGGGTCTCAATGGGCTGCTGGATCTAACGGCTCACGGTTCAAATTTTGACCACTCTACAGCTAACGGTTAATTTCCTTCAGTTGCGATTGAAAGAAGAACTTTAATTTAATTTAAGACGGTTAATTTTTTTTTTACAATAAACTATTGAAATGTGTCGATTTTTAGGCCTAACAGCGTAATTTTTTGCCGTTTTATGGCAAACGGTTAACACCTCATCAAGATCCTTTTGAAAGAAAGTGCGGGAAAAGAGCAATCCTCGTCAGATTTTGAAGCATTTTAATGTGGTTCCTACACGAAAAATACTCTCCAATGTACCTTACTAATATTTATACACCTATTTTCAATTGAATTTCCAAAGCCAACCCATTTTTTTTCTTACTTCACAACTCTCCCTGATTGGTCAAGAAATTTCCCGCCACTTCCTCAACCTATAAAACGCAGAGTGGAAAGGAATTGTCACTTGATCACATGCGCTTTCCCGCGCTTGAACATTGTCTGGTTACTTTGAGTTCTCATTGGCTTAGTGAAAAATGTTCTTTTTTTCCTTTTAATTGACTGCTCTGTTGAGTTTGGTTTTTGGTGTCAATTTGTGTTTGTAGTGAGACTTCCTGATTTGTGACGATCCATATTTTTGATAGACTGTTACATCCGTTGAAGATGCCTTGAAGAGCCTGGCTTTGAAAGAAGAAGTACAAGGTTACACTTGTACTAAAACTAAAGTACAGGTAAGGGAGAGAAATAATTCTTGTGATGACATGAAGGATTGGTAACTATTGAGCTTAGACGTCGTTGAAAAAACAATGCTGTTGTTTCGATGCGAATGTGGTATAACAAAACAAAATCTGAGTCTGTAACGACGATTTATCAAACTAATATGTCCTTTGACGTTTCTTTAAGGTTGACATTTGCCGACGTGTGACCCTCGAGGGGCTCCCTAAAGTCCTCATCTTGCACTTGAAGAGATTTATTTACTCCAAATCTGGCAGCCAAAAGCTAACAAAGGTAGTTGATTACCCCTTGGAGCTCACCATTGGAAAAGGTAAAGTCCATGAACGGATCTTTTCAAAGTAGTTCGAGGCGATGAGAAATGACTAAAAAAACCAACCAAAGGATGTATATAGATAGGCATCCAAGGTAATGGAAAATGCTAAAAATATGAGATACGTCTCTGGTTGAAGCTATTTTTCTGAAAAAAAAAAAACGGACAATAGTAAATGTTGTAGAAATCAGTCGATCGATCAGACAGTCACGTTCATTCATTCAGTCAACCAGTCAGTTAGTCAGTCTGTCTGTCTTTCTCTGTTAGTTGGGAAACCAGTTAATCAGTCAGTCAGACAGGCAACCAGTCAGTCAGTTAGTCTGTCCATTAGTAGGTCAGTCAGCTAGTTAGTCAATCAGTTAGTCAGTCGGTCAATCGGTTAGTCAGTCAGTCAATCAGTCAGTCAGTCAGTCTGACGAAGCTCTTTCAGTTAATTGTCAGTCAGTGAGTCTGACTAAGCTCGTTCAGTCAATCAGTCAGTTAGTCAGTCTGACTAAGCTCGTTCAGTCAATCAATCTGACTAAGCTCATGCAGTCAATCAGTTAGTCAGTCAGTCAGTCTGACTAAGCTTATTCAGTCAATCAGTAAGTCAATCAGTCTGACTAAGCTCGTTCAGTAAATCAGTCAGTCAGTCAGTCCGACTAAGCTCGTTCAGTCAATCAGTCAGCCAGTCAGTCCGACTAAGCTCGTTCAGTCAATCAGTCAGTCAGTCAGTCTGACTAAGCTCGTTCAGTTAGTCAGTCAGTCAGTCTGACTAAGCTCGTTCATTCAATCAGTCAGTCTGACTAAGCTCGTTCATTTAATCAGTCAGTCAGTCAGTCTGACTAAGCTCGTTCATTCAATCAGTCAGTCAGTCAGTCTGACTAAGCTCGTTCATTTAATCAGTCAGTCAGTCAGTCTGACTAAGCTCGTTCATTTAATCAGTCAGTCAGTCTGACTAAGCTCGTTCATTTAACCAGTCAGTCAGTCAGTCTGACTAAGCCCGTTCAGTCAGTCAGTCAGTCAGTCTGACTAAGCTGGTTCAGTAAGTCACTCAGTCTACTAATTGGTCAGTGAGTCAGTCTGTCAGGTAAACAGTCGCTCAGTAAATCAGTCAGAGTTAGTCATTCCTTCAGAATTCGTTGATAGTGACTCGTTGAATTTCAGCACCTTGTTATTTGATTTAACGATAATTATCGTCTTTGCTTTAAATAGACCTGCTATCTTCGAACGTAAAGAATAAGTACTCTGCTTCTCAAAAGAACTATAAGCTTTTCGCCGGTAAGTAAAGTTTTACTCTGTTGTAGTAACAAAAAAAATTGTCTGGCTTGGACAGCTATCATCTTTTAAAATCTTTAAAATGTTTCTTAGTTGTTCTGACAAGCCCTAAACCTGATACAGCGCCTTTCGATGGATGGCTATTCTAAAAACGGAAGAAAAAATTCAAGGTGACAAAAAAAGTTTTATCAGGCGCAAGAAAACTCGAGTTACCAAGGCAGTTTAGTTTTAGTTTAAAAATAATTAGTTGACATGGTAGTGGAGTAAAGGAAGAGAATTAAACCAAATACAATCCTGTATTACTTTCGTCACACTTTGAAAAAATTCTCTGGAAAGTGCCTGGCTGGCTGGCCGGCAGGCTTTTCCAGCTGGTGTCAAAAAGGTTTCCCAATTGTGCTAACGTGTCATTTGTGTGAATTTCTTTTCTAGTTGTGTACCACCATGGAAAAAATGCATGGGGTGGCCATTACACGAGCGATGTCTGTCACCCAACACATGGCTGGATTAGAACAGACGATACTAGGCTTAAAGTCGTGCCAGTAAACTACGTTCTCAAACCCACACAGGGAAAAGATCCATACATGCTTTTCTATCGAAGAACAGACCTCATGCCTTGAAGTAGGCGAGGCAGGGAAGGGAAGGGGGTAGTGTCTTTAGAACAGTAATTCTCGTTTACACTGTTAAGTTTTCCTTGGCATGTTCTCCAAGGTCGATTGGAAGGGAAAACATAACTTTTTGGCTGACAAAATTCATGAGGGAACACTGAACGCTTACTCGCCAACAATATTCACCACGGGCTGGAAGATTTATCAAGGATGGAATATTCGGAGGGAAATGCCACTCAAAACCATTTTTTCCCGTAAATAAGGGTTGACTGATAAATTTTCTTTGCTCGCGTATGGAGTGAGTTTGTGTTCTTGCCAGGCCAAGGGAAAATTACTCGTGTAAATTTGGTTGAACGTTTTAGACATGTTAAGTTATCTTCATATCATGATTTGTCTCGTAATGCCTCTATGGATTGCGTAATGCACCAAAGAACGGCTAACTGGATAGCCTAAGAGTAAGATTCGATGATCTTTTTTAGGAAGCACAAGTAGCCATTTAGGGTTAGAAAACAAAAACTTACACCTAATCAAGAGAATCCCCATAACACACTGCGCAATTGACGTTCATAACAGTAACGCCGAGGTGAATAGTTGTTTAAGTAAATGCTAAAACAGTGAAGCAATATCGCATAAAGAGATGACTTTAAATTATATATTTTTGCAACGATTACGTTATTTTCGGGCGCAAATTCCTCATGGGTTGATTCGAAGTGAATAGCAGTACGGAGTTTGAGTAGCCAATCAGAGCGCACCTTCAACGTTATCCACTGTTTTAGTACATACTAAAGAGGCTTATCACGGTCGCAACCAAACATACAAACGCCCGCTAAGTTCGAACAAATTTCGCTGTGATCTCGTTTCGTATAGAAATAAGGGACTAGCGAAGACTTCTAACGTATACTCCGAAGGTTGTTCCTGGTGAGTTTTGTGATAAATATCTCTACTACTCTTCAAGAAAATATAGAATTTATCCACGGCGCTGTAAACAACCGGGCGTAAATACCTGTATGATTTGGAGCCATATCTTCTTGACAAAAACTTCTCAAAAAAATTTGAAAAAAAAACGTTAGGTGTGAGGTTTAGACCAATGTTACTAAAAGTCCTTTGTAGATGCTGTAAGAGACAAGTAAAGGAAAAATAGGGCGAAGCGAATGTGAGACATTGGCAAAACTACGATACGTTGGAATAGAAATAGGAAACGGAAATAGTCAATAATTTTTTTTGGTTGATGTGTAATTTCGTAAGTGAATTGAAAAGGATGACTGAAATGAAGATTAAAAAACCACCATGGATGATGAAATGTGGATACGGAGATTTAAAATGAAAGATGGCATTTGTAACTGTGGAAAATACATCTAAATGTTTGCGAACAATCTCGACTAAGTTTTAAGACAACGCTACCGCCTACAGCTAGAGGCTAGAAAAGGATCTGATAGTTGATTGAAGGAAAAAAATTATGCCGACACTCGGTAGGAAATGACACACTCTGAAACTGCCTCCTGAGGTTCTGTGAATGCTCGGAAAGCTGCACTAGTGACTGTAATTTTAGTTACTCACTTCGACATTGAAAAGTCATGAAGCAAAGATGTGTTGCGACAACCTAATGTGGAATGCAGTGATGACTTGCCAGAGACTTTTCTTAAATTACAAATTTAATGTCGGGAAGGAAAACATGTAAACAACCAGTCGCACACGTTCTTGCCGAGGTGAACCATTTTTGTGTCACTGTGATAAAAGTCTAAACACCTAATTCTTATTTGTGACTAGAATAACGAACGAGCAGTGCATAAAATACGAGAGTCATTCAAAGAAAAATATTTTCAGGTGTAATTAAGTCTCTATTGAGTTTGGTATTAAAGTATTTGCTGATCTTCGCTATGAAGGTCATTTAGAAAAATGTTTACCATCTAAAATCCGAAGAAGTGGTTATATTTGTTGTTAACATCAAACGGCAGTCACATTTGGACACACAGAGCAAACGCAATGAGCCTACCAGGAACTTGGAAGAATAACATGCTTTTAGTGCAAAGTGTGGGGAGATAATTTAGAAGGGGCTTACCTGGTGTTAATTAAGTTTTTGTACTGGTTTGAGTGGAAAAAAATGCATTTTCTCTGGGATAATACGTCTTTGTGAGGCCTACGTGTCAAAGTGTTACTACACTTTCAACGTTATCCATGTCACAACTTTCAATGATTTTTGACTGAATAAATGATTCTTTTGAGAGACCATGGCCTGAAAGTGTGTAGACATGTTTCTTTTATTGACCCTTGGCTAGTTCTATTGGGAGGGGGATAGGTAGCTTGGACTCTACAGAGCGCCTGCCTCCCACCATCATAGCCTGGTGTCGATTTAGAAGCGTCACGTCAAGTTTGAATTTTGCTTTGTAGTTCTTTCTCAGAAATATCTAGTTTACCTCATTCCACAAAAGGCAAGTTGGCCAGAAGTAGGTGGAGAGGGAACAATCCCTTGATGCTTCTCGGATAAATCTCATTTCGTTTTACGTCCCTAGGAGGGAGCACGCCGCGCCCCTCTTCGCTTTTGGCAAAGCCCTTGATTGTCACGGGTATGAAAAACTAAGAACACTAATAGATAGTTTAATCCTAGTTTTCAAAATCGACTAAGTATCAATTCATATCATTTTATTTTTCAAAAATTTACAAAGTTAACATTTAACCATAGTGATGATGTCCATAGCTTATTTTAGCTGATGTTCAGCTTCACTCCCTGGGAATAGAATTCAAACATTGAGGACAGATGCAAATCCATCCTGGTTTGTACATGATGAAAAGTTGACACAGTAGTTGCTCGAAATATCTAAGCTACTTCAGCCCTTCTTTAAAAGTTCCTCTCCTTTCCTTCGTGCGACTAAGTGGGTATGGTAGTTGAAGGGGCCTCTTCCTCGTCCCCATTCTCCTGCAGTCCTTCTAAGCCTTTGGGGAGACTAGTATCTTCTACTTCGCTACCAGTTCCCTCGACGAATTCTTCATAAGTCGACTTTTCTTTGAAAGGCCTGCGACCTAACAGGTCAATCATGTCTTCTCTGTCAAGAACTTCTTTTTCCAAAAGTCGTAAGGCAATCTGTTATGCAAGGAGATCAGTAGAAGTAAATTAGCGATACGCAACCAGACGATACAACAATCTCTAGTAATAAGCAAAATCTCACGCTGATAGCTTCTCGAACAACCTCTATGGCCTATTACTGATTGCATCTTTTTATGGTATTTGGTGAACTGGCCGGCTAGGGTATTCAAATTGTTAACGAGGAGCAGTGTCTGCCATTTGATGATGTCATTCTACAGGGTAACAAAATTCGCTCGGAGAGAAAGACAAAAGTTGAAAACAGGAGTATCTCAGACAAGCTCGTCGTAAGGTGGGTCTAAATCAACCGAGAACTTGTCAGTTTCTTATGATTCCAAAAAAAGATGGCTGTGTCATTCACAGAAACAGAAATGTAACAGACCGTTCCCCTCGAGTCAAGTCAAACCCTATTGAAGATTTTAATCAGCCATCCCCTACCTTTTCTACATCTTTTTTGTGTTTGGTGAGCAGATCAAATGTTCTTTTGTACGCGTTGTTGATGACATCTCTGGCCTGTTCGTCAATGAGCTGTGCAGTCGCCTCACTGTAAGGTTTATCAAAAGTAGGTTCTCCCTCGCGGGGCAAATCAAAAGACACGTTTCCAACCTTTTCATTCATTCCAAATGTCACAACCTGAAGTCAAGAAAAACAATGTCAACGTAAATGTTGGAGGGAGGAAAAAGTACAGTTCTCGTATTGGATTACATTAAAGAGAGAAAAGAAATTTTCAGCAATGTAGAAAGGCGTCCGTTTTGTGTTTAAAGTTGAAACTTTCCCACAAAAAAAGCCAATTTCTGTCTCCACTGGAGAGCCGATGGAAATACACACGAGCCAAAATATCAAAATGTTCTCCGAAACCTACCTAAACGAGCCTAACTCATCTTGAAATGAAGGACATCCATGATGTGACCAAGTTTGGGTAAGACGGCCTCAACCTTCTCATGTTAATTGCGTTCCAATTACCCGCAGACAATTCAACAGAAATTAAAAAGCTTTTTGGACGCTTGGCCGAGTTTTTAACGTGTTATTTAATGTACCTGCGCATAAGCACTCTTGGTAACTTTACTGAGATCGTCCTGGGCACCGGTGGTTATTCGTCCAAAGAAGATCTGTTCGGAAACCCTTCCTCCCAATGTCATACACATACGGTCTAACAGCTAAGACAAACACAAAAGCAAGAGCAACCATCAATCTGACATCGAACGGTATAAAACAAAGATTTTCTATGATACAATTTTCAAATGATTATTGAAGGAAAACCAGTAGCTAGTGGTTGGCTGAGTCGAAAGGCGCTCTGTTGTGTGATTCACACAATTAAAGGACAAGACCTTTTCACACTTGAGTACGAGCTTCCCAAACACTAGCCAACTCGGTATCACTGTGCTGTGGACGTTACCTGTTCAGTCGAGTAAAGGTATTGTTCCTTGGGGAGGTACTGCGCGTAGCCGAGACCCTTGCCTCTTGGAATTATTGAAACCTGAAAAGTAAGATTTCTTTCAATAATGCAAAATATTAGAGTATAAGAGGTACCAGCGACTCTAAGCCGGGCACCCCTGTATTTCATAATTTATCCTTTTTTCCATCACCTAATTAACCAATTACAAAGCAACCAAAGATTCCCGTAAAAATTTAACAGGACCACGCTGCACCTCACCAGGTAAAACCTGTGTCGGGATTTTATCCGCAGACTTCAAGACTACATTGAACCACTTTGCTCAACAGCTGATAACATTTGCAGTGGTATCAGCAAATTCGGCCCACGCCGTAGAAAGAATATTTGAGTCTGGTTTAAATTAAAGTTTATAAGCAGGCGAACTGAATGCACGAATGAAGATTTCACAAGTTCACCTTCAGAAGAGGATCGGCATGTTCAAGGAACCATCCGGCCACTGCATGACCCGCTTCATGGTACGCTACAACTTTCTTTTCCTCCGGCTGTAAAACTTGAGTTTTTTTCTCCAGACCTACGACAAATGAGAGAAGGGTGTTTAACGTTACCTTCAAAATTGAAAGAATTCTTAGAGAGATCATTCAAGAGGATGATATGCTCTTGTGTACACTAAAAGATAAAATATCTACAGTATGTAATCCTGAAGGTCTACGTTTTCAGACGCGGTTCAGTCGGACCCAGGCCCGTCATTAAAAAGGAACTTGAGAGAGCATGTGGAAAAACAGAGGGGTCTAAATATAGACAAAGTGCTCATCTTTACTCGCTCCCTTTTTCCTTCCCGTGCGCATTAATCAAGGGACTAAAACGGAGTATCCATGCAATCACACCCAAGATGTCGCGCATCACCATGTATTTCAAAATATTTTGTCATGGCCACTGAAGGCTTGAGGCAATTCGACACGACTATCAAAACTTTTGAGTTATGCCCCCATGAACCGTGCAACAGCACTCTCTTCACTCACCTCCAATAACACGCTCAATGGCTTGTTCAAAATGCGTCAACTCCACCTTTGGCATAAGATGCCTCGCAGCAATGAGGGCAGCTTCGTTACAAACATTTGCGATGTCAGCTCCTGCAATCATTCACATAGTTATCATTAAAAAAAAAAGAATGTGATTATCAACCAGAAGATAAATCTTCAGTTCTGAGTTAAGCGTATCCAGGAGAACTAGCTCAAAGGCAAACCTGTAAATCCTGGAGTGAGTGCCGCCATTTTTCGCGCAACTTGATCGAGATTCAGTTCTGTCTTCAGAGGCTTCAAGTGTACTTTAAAAATAGAACATCTACAAAGAAAAAAAAAGGTCATTAAAAACTTGAGTTTCCTGAAAGTCAATATACGGCCTTAAGCTGGATTCATACACCTTGATCGGTACAGGCATTTTTACCAGCCGAGAGGAGAAAAACGCTTGGCAACCGCGACGAAACTGCAGAGAAAATGCGCAGCGACTGCTTCTCCGCTCGCGTGTGACTCATCAATTTTCACTTATCCCACGCTTGTATCCACTTTAAGGGTAAACACAATAGAGAGAACTGACATGTACGCCAGCTAAGCTTGGCGACTTACCTTCCCTTGATATCTGGTGGAGGCAGATGGATCTGTCTGTCAAAACGGCCGGGTCTTAGCAGAGCAGGATCGAGGATATCAGGTCTGTTGGTACCAGATAGTACCACTACGTTTGTTGATGAACTGAAACCTTTGGTAGAGAACAACATTTATATTACAAATACAATGTGCAAACTGTGATTACATTCCAAAGAAACATGAAAAAAAGTTACGTTTATCTAAACAGCAAAAGAGAATAAATACTGGCAGTGTAGACAACAGTATAGCAATCTTTTTTTCTTATTAGTCTGACAACCTACAGTACATTAAATCTCTTTCCAACATTTTAACACTTTGGATCAACTTCAAAAGAGTTGAGCTGGGAGCCTAGAATTCCTTTCATTTATTCTAACACGATTAACTCCGAAGTGGACTTACAGCCAGACGAATACACCCTTTTTGTGAAACATCAATGATTGTATAATATTACAGTCTTAAGAAGTACAATTCCATCAGACATGGTGTTCCCCTGAAATAACATACCAAATCGAAATAACCTTCTGCCAGTCACATACCATCCATTTCCACTAGCAGTTGATTGAGGGTGTTCTCCCGTTCGTCATGCCCACCAATATGACCTCCACGGCCGCGTGCACGGCCCACAGCATCAATCTCATCAATAAATATAATGCAGGGTGCATTCTTTCTTGCTTGGGCAAACAGATCTCTGACTCTGGCTGGCCCAACTCCTACGAACATTTCCAAAAACTCTGATCCTGAAATACTTAGAAAAGGTACTCTGGCCTCCCCAGCCACTGCCTTGGCTAACAGAGTTTTGCCTGTACCTGGTGGCCCTGATAATATAGCACCCTAGAAGACAGGAAAACAGATAAGAAATATCAGTTTACATCTAGCTGCATGCAACAGACAATTGTGGGATATACATGTAGCATGGCCTGGACTCCTGATCAAGAGGTCTGGGTTCAAGCCTTGTCATCGGATTGTGTTCTTGTACAAAGAACTTAACTCTTACCAGGCCTCTCTCAACCCAAATCTATGAAAGGAAATTTAAGATGGTGTGTTATGGTGTGTTATACATGAGCCCTGTGCAGTGTCCTTGACTTGGCTACACACAAGCTTGTATGTAGCTAAAAGGCTGGAAATGTGTTTATTCAGATGACTTCTAACCCTTTACCTCTTAAGATCTGATTCTTACTTCTCCCCTCTAGCTGTTACATATTTTCTTGCAAATTAGCTGTAAGAATTTGGTTTTAGAACAAAAATTACAACCTCTAACCGTTAAGTTTGAGTATATTCATAACTTGTTTGTTTTATGTGTGGATATTATAAGGAGAAGTTACACGTTAATCACCTCCTTTATCCAAATCCTTCAATGAAATATATAAAGCCAATGCACACATACATGTAAATCACAGTTACAGTGAACAAAAGAAAGTCCCCATTGCAAATTGACTTTCATCGGGCTCATCTACAGCTGTATGTGTACTGTAGCAACCAGTAGTACAACTAGTAACAGTAACTGTTGGAATAATAACTTTATAATTCAAGTACCTTGGGTATCCTGGCCCCCAACTCATGATACTGTTGAGGATTTTTAAGGAAATTCACAAATTCCATTATTTCCAGTTTAGCTTCCTCACATCCAGCAACATCCCTACAAACAGCACAACATAATGTTTCATGCATTAGACAAAAACTAAAGTCACAATTCTTCTCCTTGCCCATAAATGCCCAAAGAATACATTTTAGACAGACACCAAATTAATGCATCCTCTTACAGCTGTTGCACCAGAGAGCGGCAGAGCTTCTCTTTTATTGTTCACCAAACAATCAGCTACATATGGATCGATTGACAGATCAAAAGTCCTTTAATCAACTGGCATCTTCCCTGATTCAGCCCTTTTAAAGTTAATACCATTGGCCTGCATCAGCTCCAATTTATTGTTAAGCTAAGCTACAAATGTACTGTAAGTGTGCTTGCCCGCTTCAAAGAAGAAGAAACCTAAAATGATGCATGCTTGATAAAATGGTGCATGCTTGATGCATGCTCTAGATATACAGATAGTTTGAGTTAAAAAAAGTTAAATGATGCATGCTTGATAACTCAGATGGTTTACACTCAAAGTACATACTTGAATCTGACTTTGACACTTGTTTCTTTATTGTAGAATTTGGCTGTTGACTGCCCAACACCAAATATACCCTGTGTTTCACAAAAAGGTGCAAAGGTACAAATAAAATCACTGGCAGATTCATATTACCATGGTATACTGCAAAATCATTATATCTAAATGGCTCAAGGTAACATAAACAAAAACCAGCTCACCCCTTGTCCTCTGCTGCCACTGGAAAGTTTCCTACTGAAGTAAATTATGACACCGATAATCAGCAGTGATGGAGCTGCCTTGATGATCTCCTTCCTGTGAAGGAAAACAAAATTAAGCTACATCATTCAAGGAGTTTTCACTCCCTTTTTGGTGGCCAAGAGACAACCACCAGACATGCAAACAGCTACAAACAACAACCAACACATGCATAACACCATCTCATTGAGTTTCTCCCAATAATATTCTGTTCATGCCCAGTTGGGTTCTGACTCTTTTGTGGAAATTGGCATATAAATTCCCTTAATCATAGAGTAATTCCCATACAAACAAGCAAACTTAGCAATAAACTGATTAAACAATTCCTTACTCTGAATTTTGTTGAATGTAAATGAAGTTGTCGCATTTATAGCAATGGCTAACTTTGTTGGAATAATCCCAGTAACAAAGGCGAAGTCTGTACTGGAGCCTACCTGTAGTGGTCCAACCAACCAGCTTATCATGGTTTCCTTGGCATGGAGGGACTGGGAGTATTACAACTTCCCCCTGGATAGGATGCTAGTCCATCCCAAGATTACCCCCAGCATTTCATCAGGCTTCCCTGACAAGTAGCCTGTACCCATATATACTACTGGTTGGAGCAAGAGAGGCATTGTGAGAGCATAGTATTTTGCCCAAGAGCACAATACATTAACCTGGCCCGGTTAGGAAACACAAGTATATATATCATTGTAATATTTAGAGGTTTTCCATCATCCTGGGACAGTTTACAACTGTCCAGCAAACAGCATTTTAAGTTTCAGTCTGAACTTACAGCCACTCTGACTCCTTCACATATGTCACTGGGATCCAAAATGCAGGATCAATGTTCATCTCTTGTTGAACAGCCTCCAAACTGCGCTCAAAGCTTTCAACACTTCCAATCGTGAAACAAAGCTGACTCTGGTGACAGGATCAATAATTATTAATAAGCTGAGTTATGATAGCAGCAGCATGTGCATTTCACAGTGAATCTGAACTGGAAGAAGTCATAGTTTGGTCAACTCTTGAGATATGATGATACTGTACAACACACCAAAAAAAGAGTTGAAAATTTTGCTAAAAGTAGTTTTTCCTCTCTTTGATACATACACCTGTGAACTGGCAAAGGTTTCAGTTAGGTTGACTACTACACCGAATTTTGAAATGTTATAAAGTAACATATACTAAACATGTACACTCCCTCACAATCTACCAAGAACCCCACTTCCACCAGACCTGGCATTAGAATGAAAGCCATTGTGTTTGTACTGTATTTGAGATCACAAAACTCTACAGCCACCAAAGAATTCCAATGATAATTTTCCATGTCTTGAGATTTTTTTTAATTTTCATTCAGATGAGAATATTCTCCAATTAAATGGCACTTCCCTTCTGCTGCTAAATTTCTTCATGAAAACCCTGTAAAACTACGCATAATACAAACTATACCTTGTTGGGGTCATTCTTCAGAAAAACTTTCACAAGACTTTGGTTTGACACAACAAGTTTTTCCACCTACGGGGAGAAAACAAAAATAAACATGGAGTGTTATTCAACAACACTGTGTATTAATTACAAGTAATTTGTAAATTTGAAACACTTATACTCTTTGTGCCCATGTATAATTGCTACAGTCTACAAGATACTTTTAATTATGCCTCCTTGAACACCAACTGCTAGTAAAATGATGGGGTTCATAGTTCTTAGAAGTTTAATTCTTTTTTTCTTTTCAAATCGATATAATTCCCCTTTCCCTTTGTTGCAGGTTATGGTAGTTGAATACTAGACCAAGGAAAAGAGAAATCAAAACTGGTTTGGAAACTTTAAAAGCTGGAAACAATTCAACCATGACATGAACATGTATACAAAGTTTATCATGTCTGTGTATAAACAACTCCAAAGCAGTTCAGTTTTATCGTCTGAGTTGACAACATAAATTGGCCATCAAAAGGATTTTCTAAGGCCCTTTCTCAGGACTCCAGCAGTGGAATAGGGCTTGAAATGTCAGCCGTAGAAAATGAAAAAATGTATTCTAGAGGTAATTTTTCAAAGGTGAACAGACATGAAATCTTACCTCTCCCCTTTCAAGATATTTTGTTCTGAACTCTTGCCAGTTTATTTCTCTAGTGTCCCTTTCAGACATTAGAAATAACAAAGCTAAGACTGCAGCTACTGCACCACCAATCAAAGCCTGTGGATTATTTTCGAAGAGGGTCTTCCACCAGTCATCGCCAGGTGGTTTGCCACTGCTCCCTCCCCCTCCTCCACCACCATCATCACCCCCTGATGCTTCCCTCTTGTTCACATCCGAGTTCTCTTTCTTACTAGAGTCTGTTGGAATCAAAGATAAATGTACAGCGTATAGCAAAGTAGCAGGTATTTGAAAATGGCATTATGCATTCTACATTTCACTTACATTTATATTTTCTTTTAAGTCTGCATGTCTGTACCCAAAACTGCATTAACCATCCACAACAAACTGCATTGCCGTTAAAGTGAACATCAATGTAAACAGCGGAGCAGATGTGCAAACTGAAGCTTCACTTTAAAGTTTGACTTAATCTTTATATTAACTCAAGTTATATTGATTTTGAATATAGAGAATAATACACAGAATACATGAAGAGTTTCACTTCGAGTGTTGAACTCAACATCTCGTAAGTGAGTGCAGCAAACTGGTAGGATATGAAGTTGAACACGCGTCTAGTTAGAGCTCTTCTCAGGGTTGGAAATCTTTGTAAAACACTGCAGTTTACATGTTAAACTACATGTTTAAATGCAGAACAATGATCTGATCTTACCTTTATTTGATGTCTTCTTTGATGCATTTGGATAAAATTTTTCAAATCCTTCAAAGAACGGAGAGTAACACAAACAAGATAACTTTATGTTTTATGATTGAGGACCAAAGCATCACACGGACTATTGAAGCTAAATGAAGAAAACTGCTCAACATTGGCATATACAGAAGTAAAGTTGAAATATTGTGATCCAACGATAAAACAAACGGTTATGTAATTCATGTAGATGAATGTAGTCAAGAAGCAAATTCTTGTCAAGCTGAAGTTATTATCGGAACTAGTAAACAATTTAGCGATCTAATTTGCTTTTAGACTTCTCAAATTTTTACTTGAGGACTTATCTACCAAACTGATTTCTGATTTCCTACTAAATTCGCGAGAGATCTCGAGGCACTCACAATTTCATCTCAAACACGCACATTGTACGTAATAATTTGAAGTCATCACGTCTCACGCCGAAAAAGTTGAAAGCAAATCAGGATTACACAAATTTAAAGCCACCCCAACATCATATCAAATTTACCCTTTGGTGGATCAAAATTCAGAATTCTTCCAAGTAACCAAGAGTTCCTTGCATTGTGACTCAGCAACAATTGCTTTGCTCCAAACGAGTACCGCGCAAACTACAATAAGTAAAAAAAAAAAAAGAAGCAATCGTTCATAAAAAGTAATCAAAGAGAACTATTTGGCGGCACTAGTACAACTAATGTGCTAACAAATCGATATCTATCTTTCCTTGAGGCCTAACACAAGGGGAAGAGCTAACATAAATGAAACAAAAACATAGAGTTAACTGTTTACATGCGTACCTGAGGATGTGAGAGTCTCAGAGTTGCCCGAGTTAACAAGGAGCTCACTCCTCGCGAACATAACCTGTACGTCATTGCTTCAAAAAGCCTAGTATTTGAAACTTTTGGAACTAAATGTTATAAACATACTAGAATAAAACCCAACGTGTTCCGTACATTACTAGGAACGATTTGCTGACATTTTGTCTTATGCAACTCACGATTCAAGATGGCGGATATAAAAACAGGAGGCGCGGTGGCAACTCCGCAATGTCCATTTTACCTTGGGGAGGGGGGGGGATAGAGTGTACTTCTGTTTCTAAGAAGGGTGTTCTGTATCAGTGGTGTGGAATCTGTTACGTGTTTCTCAAGGTTCACAGTAGGTTCATATAAAGAACAAAATCAGCAAACTAAAAACAATGAACCTTACAACCCTATAAATTTCTCATCAAAATTATTCGCTATCTGTTATTGGAACCTGCGCTATTTCAGAACTCTGACTGCTTTGCTGCGTCATATCCACAGACAGGAGCCCATTACCCGGAGCCTCCATACCAATTGTACCCTTGAGTCAACCCTGTCCCGTATCTTTTTATTCTTAGAACTGAGATACGTGGGGGTTCTTTAATTTCCCGGGAAAACACGCTGACGTTCTCACAACACCCTAAAAAAATGGTAATTTTTCCACGCTTTTCGCCATTATTGAAATACTTTCGTGCGGCCTACATGTGACATAAACAATAGAGGACCACGGCTCCCTTATGATTGGCTATTATGTAAACACCCGCGAAAAACCCCGTGGGAGGTGCTTCTTAAAATAAAAAGATAGGGGACAAGGTTGACTCAGAGGGTAAGTATGGAAGATGTCCACAGACAAAAAACTTAATATCGTGTTAAGCGATACACTAACCAATCTCAATATATGTGTATTGTATCCAAGTTCATTAATTATTTTGTCTTTTGTTCATTGGTTTTGTTTTCATAATTATTTTCTGGAATACCTCGGACAGTTTAGGGAATCCCGATGATCACTTTTTTTTTGGTCTTGCTTCGCTCGTTTTGCAAGATTATTGTAACAAATGAATAAATACTTCGAAAAATACCTGCAAAGACAAATTCTGCAATAAAGGATACACCAAAGCTAAATTTTTGATTACCAGACAATTCTTTTTTAAGACGTTGCAATTCTTTGCGGAAACAATACTTCTGCTGGGTCAAAAATAGATTGTACGTGTTCTTTATCAGATACCAAGATAACAAATGTGGTTGGACTAATGGAACTGGGCGCACGAGAGAGAGAGTGATTGAGGCTAACTTGCACGCGCGGGAAGTCAAACACTCGCGCGCGTTATATTTGAGCATGGCGCAACGCAAAAATTTTTTTTGGGATCACTTTCTGAAGGAGCTTAGACACCAGGCTCAATTAGGGAACCAAGCCTTTTGATGACGTGAACAATTTTTCACTCACCGCCCCCGACTGGTTGAAGTGTAGTTGGAGGGGGACAGGGAAGGAAACATTTTTGTTACTTGCTTTGTTGTTGTAATTTTCCAGAAAAAACAAATGGGAAGTTATCTATTACCTTTTTTTGTATAATTTTCGCGGGAAATAATATTACCTTATCTCGCTCCGCTCCGTACATATACGAATCTTCTGCCTTTGGTTAAAATACACTTTCTTCGTTAATTCTAAACATTGCTCACGGTCAAATGGATCCAAAGGGAATTTCAAACCTTGGAAATATTTGCTTTCTGAATAATGTCTTGCAAGCTCTGCTCTGAGTGACATGTTTTTCCGAAGGGCTCACTGGATTGCAGCACAATCGCAAGAAGTGCACCTCATCTAAAACAGGTCTCGAAAATGTATTCAATATTATTTTAGCACGTCAAAATAGCATTGGTATTGGAGTGGAAGACATAAAATCCCAGCAGGCAAACAACATCAACCCATCGGTGAACTGTGTAATTGAACCAAGTACTTTTTTAATGAACCACAAAATTCGTCATTAGTGTGGTAATCCGCTTAGTTATTCTCGACATTAAGCTTATTTCGACTTTATGAAACAACTGGTATCAGTCATATTAAAATACGTATTTGACAACGTGATAATTTTGTTAGAACGTCACAGGAAGTTGTACCTTGTACGGAGCTACGAGTAAAATGTTTAAGGCCTTTTCACTGTTTATGGCGGTAAATTTATATTAGTCCTGGAAGCTTTGCAAGTCGTAGTTCTTTGCTCGATTATTTTTTGACACTGTTGTGTTGCGCGTTCATCTAAAATGTGCGTGTACGAGTACTAGGAGTGCAAAGAGTGAAAACGGTACGCAAACCTAACACTTTCGACCCCTCCCCATCCCCTCCCCAGCCCCACCCTCTGGACAAATGAGTAGTTTCTGGACCATATTGACTTGATAATCTTGGTAACTCCTAAATTGACTATGCCTCACACAAGAGAAAACTATTTTTATACAACTGTGCACCACTGAGGTCTTGCATTAACAAAAAGACTTCTCTGGTATGTTCCACTAAATACTCTAGGTCAGATGTGTTTGCTGTGTAGCACCCTAAACTTTGTGAATGCATATAAGACTGCACCTGGAACAGTTCACCCAGCAACATTGGTATCCTGTCTGCCACAAATTAGCAGCCAAATTCAGAAGGGCCAACAACAGCGTGCAGCAGAATTTTTTCAGGAATATTGTAGAGTACTTGGAAACACTGCAAGCCAGTACCAGACTCAGCAGTTAATACCTGCCAGCTGTAATCTCTCCTTCCTGCAATCCTTTTTCTTTGAGTTAAGGAGTGAAGTAATGTGCTCATCATGTGATAATATTACTTCAAACACTACAATGGAAACAATTCTCCCTCTACATATTACAAAGGTATGGGGCAATTATAGTTACAAGGTCACAGTCACCTATGCTAATTTCCTGTGGATTAAATTAATTACAATCACAAACCTGTAGACAGTAAAATTAAATCCAGGAATGGTGTCCCTGCCACATGGATATTTTTGTTTTTGGTTTCTTTTTTTTTCTGAGGGGGGGGCAGAGTTCAACCCCCCCTCCCCTTTGAAAAATTCATTTCATGTCAAGCATTTCCTTAAAAAATTTTGGCACTTTTGGACCCCCTCTCCCCTGGAATTTTCAATGATCCTACTTGGGGAGGGAGTGTGTTGATCTTTCAATTCTTTCTAGAACTACACCTTTACTACACATTCTTTCTTACAAAAAGTAAATTTTGTGGTCAAAATGATCTCTATAATAATCACTTCCACCCTGATATTTTTCTTTTGCATGTGGGAGCATAAACATTGACATTGACAACAATGACAACAGTTCTATTTGCACCCAACATTTACATTTTTAGTTTAGCCAATAACTACAAGAAAAGTCAAATACTCATCACAAAAACAAGCTACCATAGTATTTCTGATACCCAATCACACACTTTATTAATCAATATTATTCACACATTTATCCTGTTCCATTAGTGGTGTTTGTCTATTCATTCTTAAGGGTTGTACTGTACAGAGCTTCCTGAAGGACTATTCTAACCCAGTGGAGCTGGAATCATCTTATTACTGTAGCAGGTAACAAATTTTAATAGCATTAAACCTAACACCAAAAGGACACACAAATACAACTGTTTTTTTTGATAACTGCTACAGTGCTTAACACTATAAACTACAATGCACAAAGCAGACTATTTTCTTCCAGTGCAAGAAATTAGGAATGTCAAAGCTACTACAATTGTACAAATTGTTTCAAACTTTACCACTCCCCTTCCCCAAAGCAGCTACATGTATACAATACAGGGCCTTTTAAAAAGTCCTCAATGTTTAATGCCTCGAGGCTTGCTGGTTTGGCAGTCAGTGGAAAGGTAATGAAAGAAATACATTCAGTTGGATATATATGATTACAATTAACATTCAAATATTGATTCTAACTCTGTACTGACTCAGGATATAAAAAACAAGACATTGATTGCATTATATATGGTGGCTTGATGCAAATGAGCCAAGAGAGCTTTTTTTTCAGGTAAATGATCATAAAAAGTCCCATGTTCTGTAGTTGTAAGCCATAGAGTGAAATTCAGTACTTTAACTATATTCAGTAGACCTCAATGCAGTTTTCAACACCACCTTAATGTCAAATAATTTTTGTGACAATTCTGTTATCATAAAAATATCAGTAATACTGCAAATTTAAGCAACAGTTGTACACGTTATAGGAAAATGATTCTTCTGTGAAAAATTTTTCTTCTAGCAGACTTAAATTTTCTGAAAAAAATAACATACAATGTATGGAAAAACTATCACAAACAACAGGGCAGATTCAAGGAAAGGTACAGCCATAGCCACTATGAAGCAAACATCCCCACCACTCCCAAAATGCATAATCAGTTGCCTCAGATGTCCAGGCTGTCCAGGGAACAATTTAAACGTTAAAAAAGTACAGTTTTGCGTATTCAGATTAATTACTGCTTGGTGCATTATTTTGTGACAACGTACTTTAACAAGTTATATATTTTATATCACAAAAGCAAATAATTTCTGGTGTTATCGCTAATTGGGATATCAGATCAAGAAAGTATAAGGTTATCAATAAAGAGTTTAACTTTGGCTGTGGGTTTTTCGAGTTATTAATTTGACAATTCACTGTACGTTGTAAAATTACAAAGCAAAACACTAAATTTAGGTTGAAAAACACTAAAATACTTACTTACCTTCGGTCTCAAAACGTTTTTCACTTTACTGCTGTGAAAATTTGAGTTTGTGTTTACTACACGCCGATGTTTCTTGTATACTCCAATGTGACGACATAAGCTAATGGCAAAAAAGGTCACGCAAGCAAGCAAAGGCCTGGGCACAAATTCAGTACGCTTGGCTACTGAGTTGAGCCTGGTTTCTAAGCTCCTTCAGAAAGTGATCCCAAAAAAAATTTTTGCTGGCGCAACTGCACGGCGCCTGTTCATTCTCGTTTCCAGAGCCACTCCTTTTCATATGTAAGCAAAAACCAATGATGACTCTGGGAACGAGAATGGGCGCCTTTTATGCAGACCAGCAATACGACAACAATATGAGCAGAACGCTGGAGAAGCCTTGGGTAAGAGAAAGCTGTGGCCTTTGGACCGGGAACATGTATACGAAGTATGCAAGAAATTTCGACGTTGCTGAGATTTATTTCACTATCAAAATAAACAGGGAAAAAAGTCATCGTGTGGACAACGCACTATCAGAAGTTGC